AGGCCCTTTCAAACGATACCTCGTTCATCGACAATGTTCACCAGTGAAAGCTAGAGTAGCAATTCCGATCCATAGTACCGCTTTTTGGATCCCGAAAGCAAGTGACGAGCGCGCAAGTTAGAAATTGATTGATTTGGTGTACTCATTGGTGAGGTAGTTGCGAGTGCGTGCTTCAGACAAGTCACCAAACTTGCATCGAAGTTGTGGGTTTTATGGCCAAGTTAAACTTATAGCAGTTTGTGATTCCATGGGTGACATATTCGACGCAAGCGTTTCTGGTAAGAGGTGATGCTGATATAAATTGTGTTGGTAGGCGCACAGTCGAGAAACAGCCATCACTGACAATAAGATCATCAGTGACCGCGAAACACCCCCTGAAGTAATATTCGGACCCCGCAACAAACACGATATCCGTACTTGCAAGCTATGGACAGTGGCTACATGTATGATTCATAAATGACGTACTAAACAAATAAATTTCATTATCGATGGAACGAGGCACACATGAAATCCTACGGCCAGTAAGTGTAAAAATGGTTGTGAATCTGAATATCTGTAGTTCGGGTTGTCTGGTTAGACGTCAACTGGTCATCCGAGCAGGGCAGTTTTGTTGCAGACTTTCCACCACCAATCGAGATAGTGCGTAGCTACAAGTTGCTTGGTGGTAAATACTGAACCTAGCGCAAATCAAAAGTTAGATACTATCGACTAATGGGCTATCATTTATATACATTTCGGGAACTTGTAACCATGCTTCACCCGAAGTGGCCATCTGTTTGGTTACTCGTGAATATCTGAACGATATCTATAGAACTATAAACTAGCTTAGACGTGAGAGGGCGCCGTGCAATTTCATTGGTGCAACAGACACAGTTGCTAACAACTAAGTGAGAAACTGAGCATGCGACAGAACGCAGAAATGCAAACTCTAAAGCGAAGAAGCAGGTCGCCTTGTAAGTTATCCTAATTAAACAGCTACAAAATACGAAATGCCAACGATATATGGGTCAGAAATATGTGCAACTGGCAGCTCAGCGATGCCGCACGAAAAGCGCTATCAAGAGACTAAACTACAAATCAAAAGACGCCGAACATACAGAATATCTTGCCGGACTCGGTCTTGATGAAAAGACAAAAGCTCTACCAACACATATTATCGTTCCAATAGTAACATGCTACAGGCAAAAAAACCATTATTTCAGACAAGAGAAAGATACTGGCTTTTAAAATCATACGCCCCCTAGTAGGATCACTATAGTATCGCTGGACTTTGCATCATTGCGTCTATCGCTTGACTGGAATAATAGTTTTGTTGCTAGTAGTGTTGGAACCGGAACGATTATGTTTTGGTTGAACTTTCGTATCTTCGTCAAGACCAAGGGATTGTATGACAATCGCGACTCCAGGAAGAAATTATGTGGATTCGGCGTCGTTGGAGTTGCAGGTTAGTCTTGTGAACAGGACATTTTCGTGTGGCATCGTTGGTATTTCTTATTTGTAGCTGTTTAACTGTGACCGCTCACAAGGCAAACTGCTTCTTCGCTTTAGACTGCATTTCCGCGAATATATATATATATATATATATATATATATATATATATATATATATATATATATGGCTGGCCGCATCCGGTTTCGGATTTGCCTGTCACTGTGGCCAGTCACAGGACGCCTGCGACTACAGAGGGACCATGGGTGGCTTGCGCTACACCACCCACAGCGTCAACGACACCTCATATCCAGTGTAAACCGAAGGAATAAGACCGGGAGGCATGTGTATGGGAGCCACGTTTCATCAACGGAGCCGGCCCACACTCCTTCATAGGCAAACACAAGCACATTGTATTTGGGAATCAAGCGTACACAAGACGGTGGCTGGACCGTAGTCCGCTCCACACTGACTGCATGGAACCATTCTTTGAGCCTAGCACAGCCACAAGGACCATGCACCCCGTCCCTTCCAGCAACGACCAACTGTCTCCTGGAGCCAGTATGGACGAGGTAGTGGGTAATAGACATGTAGGTACCTTGTCAACATGCACATCAAGCGCAGCCACACCGGGGATATCAAGCAACAGCCAATCACTTGAAACGACAAGATGAAATAAAATAAATTGAATAATGCATACAGATACGAAGACCTAACACTGTAATAAATGAGTATATAAAATAAATTGGTGACGAACAAATCCGCGAAAAATTAAAATGGTCAGAAAATATATTTCGAGAAAATGCCACAAACGCGAAAATATTTTCGAAGTTAAGTACAATTAGCTTAAGCGACGTGTCCAAATTAACAGAAGATAGTTCAGGTAGATATTAATATGAGATAAGAAAGCATTAGAACAATATAGCAAACGCACCACCTAAAATAAAGAGACAGAGCATGAAAGCAGGCGATTAGCAAATCGAATGGAGCGTACCTCCCAACGCTGTTTCGGTTCTGCCTAGCTTCTCCGCAAGACTCGTCGTCGTTTCTGTGGTGATCCCGAGTGGCCTCGCTCATGGCTCACTAGGCATATCTGACTCAGACACACGCCACCGCATGTGCTATAGCACCAGGTGAGGCTCACTTTGATAACGTCCTGGTAACAAAGCTTCGATTTCCCTACATGTCGCTTCCGCAAACTCAGTTGACCATCGAATAGCTGCTACGGTATCCGCGTCGAATCCATATGATTCACATGACCGAGCCACCTCAGGTGTCTCAATAAAAGTATGCAGTCCAATGCATACATTTCACTTCGGCGCAACACCTCGGTGTCCGCAACGCTGTCGAACCAACGGATGCGCAGAATCCGTCGCAAACACTGCCGATGCAACCGCTCGAGATATCGCATATCCCGCCGGTACATCGTCCACGTTTCACTGCCGTATAGAAGAACGGACAGCACTATGGATTTGTACACCATCAGCTTCGTGCCAACGGTATTCTGATGGTTCTTCCACACTCGGTACTCAAGCTTCCCGAATTCCGCTGCTGCCTTCGATACGCGGATACGTAGCTCACCGTGAAACTGCTGGTCAGTCGAGATCAGAAGCGGGAGGTAGTTTCTAATACTTCAGCACCAATGCTGATTCGCGGCAATATTGATGATTGCAACTCCGGTGAAGGCTGAAAGTGACAGACAGTTTTGCTTGTGTTGATGGCGAGTCCGAATTTGGCCGATGTCGAAACCAGAGCACTAGTCATGTGCTGCAACTCATCCGCGCCGTGTGCAAACAACGCACAGTCGTCAGCAAACAGTAGCATACGGATAGTTGTCTCACAGACTAGGGTTCTCGCACCGAAACAACGGATGTTCTGCAACCCACCATCAATACGGTGCTCCCTCTGATCCACCAACCTACAAATTGGCTAAAGAATTATGGAGACCCTTGGGCATTTGACCTATGGATAGCTGTATTCCATAAAAAATGTTCAGCAGATTTTTGATAAACAATGGTGTACGAACAGATCATGAAGAAATAATGGTGTCCTTCCATGTCGCTCTATTTACGCTCGACATCTTACAAGTGGCAAAGGAAAACACCATACAAAGCTTGAGTGGTGACGGAGTAACTAATTGGAAGCTTACGACGGAAAGCGTGTGCCAGCCTCTCGTGTTGTGCCATAACATCTAACTCAACTTCAGTGAAAGGGGGAGCGATGGGTTCTGGACTCATTGCTGAGACTGTCATGAAGAGAGAAATCAGCAGTACGCCGGTACTCCGTACCAACGCGAATTAGAGCCGGTGACGCCTGGACACCAGCAAAAATTAGAAGATAACGTGCTACCAAAACTGTGGGTCCGATATGATGACCTGTTTGTAATAAACAAACGCAGCCAGCTGAAGATCGTACAAGCGTTGCTGAAAGGTGCAATAGACGACATCTGCTTCACCATGGAATCAAAATGGTAAATCAACTACCTTTCATGAACCTATGGGTTATCACAACAGTAGACGCAGAACAAGACACAGACCAACTTCTAAATTTCAACAGTTATCGTCCAACGCGTCGACAATGATCCGGTAGATCAGCAACAAAGGAGGAAAGAAATCGGACGTATTGGAAACTGTAACTCGAGCCAATAAAATCCGGTGATCGAACAATGTACAGAACAGTCTGGCAGATGAAAATACGGAGAGCCATCCTAAGTCAAACCTAGCTTCTTAAAAGTTGATGGCAATTCCCCAGGTATTAATGAATATCCAAAAAACCAATCCGGATGAAGCATGGTTATGATGCAGAGTTCCTATCTCTGGCTGCCACAGGACTGGAATAAATAGTGGGTAGGTTGGGTGCTCCACTAGGAGACTAATCCAAATTTTGGGAGCAGCTCAAGCCCGGGAGTGGACTTGTAGTCACTGGATGAGGCTGCATATTGTTTTGACAGGCAAACAACAAAACTGTACTGACTAGACTCAAGCAACAACGTCAATAACTATCTTGAGCACTAGATCAGCTATAATAGGGCAGCCAAACAGTTGTTAGGACAGGCAAGGTTCGCGGAAGAAGACAACAAAAGAGCAAGCAAGATACAAACACCAGGGTTTAAGCTGCGTAATTTCTGCCAACAGATATAGTCACGTGAGCAATTGTGGGGACAGCGGTGTTGGAAAGTGAGTACTCTCTCCTACGCAGTGTGGCGTAATTTCCACAGGAGAATCAGATAAAGTAGAAAAGACGCTTAAGGCACTGAAGTAATGAGATAACTGATAATCAAATCAAAGGCGCAAAGGGGAGTACGTTTTAGTTGGATGTGAGGAAGCTAACAGCCGAATAGGAGTAAGCGAGCTGCTTAGAATGTCGGGAACCGAGATTGTCGGGAACAGCGAGGATGAAGACAAAATACACTTGGCATGAACAAGCAACAAAGCACGACGAAATAAAAAAGGGCTGATACAGTTGAAAATTTTATTCGTTCATATGGAAACCGGTTGAAAAATCTACGTGAGATAGAAAAATATGAGTGCTTCCTCGCGATACTTCAAAATAAGAACATAGCAAAATGCAGTCATGGCCACAAAACCATTAATTCGCATTCATCCCTAAGAAAGCCAGTGGGATCACGGAATGCATCGCAATCGGTTGGTAACCGACAGCCCAATAAGCAGGGTTGAATGTCAGACGGGACGGTGGACTCGCTTGAAACAAAACCGTTACAAGGTGATCTGAGTAGGGGAATTTGTTGCTTGCGAACGGACACACCTTTGGGGGATATTTTGGGCTGAGTTCTGTGTTCACTTGTTTCAGGAAAATGAATCGATCTGGAGACATTTGGAACAAGAGCATCCGAGGGATGTTTCAAGGAATGAAACATTAGGTACATTTCACGTCTAGGCCGCCAATCTCGGGCGAATACACAGTCATCGTCATATTCCCAGAAGTGCAAAAATGGATGCTTCGGAGGTGCAAGCTCAGTTTTTTCGGAACAAGGCATTGTTGGACCGGTATGACTGTGAGCATGTGAGTTCCGAAATGGAGGCAATAAATGAGCTTCTTTGACTCCAGCTTGGGTAGTGGGAACGACGCAGTGAGACGAGGGTTGTGGTTCGTGACCCCGGGTTCCCGTCAAGAAGCATGATGGGGTGACGGAATCGAGCAATCTGTGCACATCAACGTAATGCGAATAATCCTTCGCATCAATTGTTTTTGCGAAGTTCACAGAATCACCATTTCGTTGAAAAGATGTTACATTTGGTACACAAACCGACACGTCATTCGCAGGCGCCTGCACGACAGATGGCGATGATGGTGATGCAGATTGCAAAACCTTTGTGAAAAGAGTGGGATGGTTGGAAGAGTTAACAGCATACAGTCGGTAACAGAGACAGTATGAAAAAGGATTTAAAAAATCGGAAAATGGTTAATACCAAATAAGCTGTGTGTGCCGGAGAATTGTGGGTGGGGATGGTTGGGAACTACGAGTGAAACCCAGGTGATAATGTTTTGCTATTCACATCTAGAAGAGATTGTAGCATTTTCAGAGATAAAAAACGAACACTGATAACTCCACTTCCCATTTTAGTCAAGGCGAGGCGTTGATGGATCTAGATGAGCCTAGCTAGATGGTTCATAAAGGTTTGTATGCGTGCAAATAGAAGGCAACATCGTAGTGTGACCCGAATTTGACCTAAGGCAACGGTCCGAGAGACTGAGTGACCCAATGAGCTACAGGTGGTTGGTATGGGCAGAGAAATAGGCAGACTCCAAACTACAACATGAAATGCACTAAAATTTACTTGCGATAGATGGTAAGATCCAAAAATTTACATGAACGGTTCGGAATTGTCAAAAGCTGTGTGTGACCTCAGGTTGCTGATAATCCACACTCTACATGTTGGTGGATCAAGTTACTGAGTCAAGACTCGGGGAAGAAATGGCCAGCAAACCTCCATTTAGCCGACTAAGTTGTGAGTCAAAGCCACTGATGGGACCCGTCGCACAACATCTCTATTTCTGAGTGAGAAGTGCAGGAACATCATTTGAACACAAGACTGCCACAAACTTTTCCAATTATTCTGTGGTTCATTCCATAATTGTAAATCACTCCATCCCATATTAGCCAGAAAGATACTACAGTTGACTTCGAAAACCATGGATGACGACCCAGATAGTCCCCTTCTGGAAAAGCAAAGCATCGGCAGTACGCCGGTAGTAGGTACCCACGCCTCGCTACTATGTCACAGCAAGCGGCTGGAACGGGCTGCCAAAAGATATAAAGAGGGGGGAAGCGAATTCAGGATGCAAAAGTTGCGAGTCGAGCGCTTAAGTACTACTACACCACGAGTTCCCCCTTCTCAGTGGACCAAATAGAGAGGCAAGAAAAGCAAGACACCATGTTTAGGTTTAGTGTTGCCCGAATTGTGAATAGACTTTTGATGTAGCTATCTTTTTACCTAAAGCGAAGGAAGTGATTCCACCTGGCGGTTATTCTCAGGCTGTCAGTAACATCCTTAGTAAGAGCAAAGATGGAACGAAATTGTTGGGGAATGGTAAGTGCAAAGAAGATGGGGGTAGTCAACCAAATTAGTAACAGCCAGGTGTTGTTTCAACTCATACGTAGAGCAGATCCACTAAAAGCATTAGTGAGTGAAACAACAGCTGGAAAGAGGGGACAGGTAAACTGAGCCGAATGTGGAGTACAACATATGGGAAGCCCAATGCAACGTGACTGGACCTTAGCGTAGTGCAATGGTTTTGCGTACCCCCGTGACCCCTTGAGCTACGCTGGGTGACAGTTTACAAGTGCATTCAGAGTCACTCATGCCAGATAGATTAATAGTTAGGGGTCAGACTAACAATCTCACAACCCAATTCTCTTAGCAGATTAGGGAGAGGTCGATGGCTCTCTTCTTTTAAAATCAAGCCATGGGAGACAACAGGTCCGGGTTATAATTAGTGAGGTAAGCAGAGCCAATGTTCAGATACGAGGTCGCGCACAGACTTACCGCGGAGCACGTGAGCTGTCTGCTGCATGCGAAGGTCACCAGCACGAGCATGGAACGACCTTCGACTGTTTTGCTAAATTTGGGAATCGGGTGCAAACTGATTGGCCAGCAAATACAAGCCCAAGTCAACGGAGACGAACCATTCTGCCAAATATGGAAAATCCGTGGGACGGAATGAACGCGCATTGGCGGAGAGACAAACCCTTCCAAAATTAGTATGTTTCGTTCACCAGTAAATAGAACTGACCTATCGTGTAGAATAGACTCCCTGTTTACCGAGCCTTGGCCTTCTGTATCCCGTCGGTTGGTTGGGCGCGTGACCGAGCAATCCGGCGGTCGTAGTCTCGCAGGCGCAGCATAGCAGCCGTGCAGCAGTACGAAGGCAGCTTTACATCAGTTATAAGCTCACGTCAAGTGATAACTTGGTAAAGGGGAATGAAGTCTCTCACTTCGAACTCGGTGTCGGTTGGTGTTTTCCGACAGCCGAACTGAGGACCTAGGGAAGGTGGACGCGTTTGGTTGGAAAAACTAGCTGACATGGCGAAGAGCCGAGCTCAGTGCCGCTTATGATGTGAGTCTCTTTGTCCCTCATGCCCCCTTTAGCTTCTCCCTCCAACAACGATCTCAAGCCATATACATAACATGATAGCGTTTCGTTAGTCTTTTATCGCTATTTCAATCTGTATTGTTTAACCTCTTATCTTTTTGGTATTGCGGCACATTAGCTGAGTCGGCCCGTAGCCTACAGGTCACAAGCTTGTCTTGTAATCCGACGGCGCGGATTCGAAACTTCGTAGGGGCAGGACGACCCTCGCAGTATCCCTAGCCCACGTGCGGCCGGTGGTGTTTGGGCGGCAGCGAAGAGTCGGTATGACGTACCGGCGTACTGCTGATGTCTCTCTACATTAGCTGAGGTGTGTCTCTCAGCCTGGGCAAGCGCGTATTGATGATGATTGATGATGTTATAAGCTCAAGCTCGATAGGCATAGAGCACGAGTGCCACGCATTGTCTCTGACGGTGGGAGGACACCTTCCGGTGCCCGAGGTTTGCTACCGCCCGCCTCAAGCCAAGCAAACCGCGGACAAATTAGGGCAAATTCGCCAACTTCCACTTGCGACTGGCCGTGGTCACAGGTGCGTAACATTATACGATCACAAAACACAAGTGCATTGATCTAAAGCTTCAAAGGCTGTGTGTGACAGGCCTCAAGCAGATCACACTGCCAAACTGGGCTTGCTCTCCACTGGCTTGTGGGTCAGGCTATAGAGCCAAAGGCACCGGATGAAGTCCATCTTAAGCACACCTCCATGTACTACACTGCCTTGTGAGTCAGACAGTTGAGTGGCAGCGGATCTCGAAAGAAAGCCCTCTCTCGGAATGGGTAGCTGGAGAGTATCCTCGGCCCGCTCAACCACATGAAGTATTCTCTCTCTTCTTCACTTTCCTCTCTCATCTCTCCCCGTCTACTGAGCAAGAGACTGCCGCTGACCTCGCAGCTGCAGCCATCAATATATGCAGCTTTTTCATCAAGTCTAGAGCTTCATTTCACATTGGCTCTTTTAATGTCCGCACTCTAAGTCAGATGGGTCAGCAGGCAGCACAAACTCCTTCTTCGCTCTCTTGGTATTGAAGTGTTTTGTTTTCGAAACAAGTATACATGATAACAGCGTCGTGACAAATCTTTGATTCTTTAGTTCTGAATTTAAAGAGAATGGCTACACACTTCGCGTCTCTGGCGATACGGGGACAATAGCTCAAGGTATTTACGATGTCGGTATTGCCCTCAGTAGACATACTGAAAGTAATCCACTCGACTGGATACTGGTGAACAGCCGCAAGTGAGCGGATCGACTCCGAAACTCTACTGGAGTTGAAAAGCAGCATCTGAAGACAAGGTGCGTTTTCATCGCCTCAGTTTACGCTCCTACTGAATGCAATTCAGAAGGTATAAAAGACGATTTATATCAACAGCTTTAAACTCTTCTTCGCATGGCGAAGAATACTGACATCGTTATTGTTGCTGGCGACATAACTAAATGAATCGCCTTTCAGGCTATGAACGACACCTGCGCGGCCGCTTCGGAGTCGATGAATGCCAAGTAGACAGTGGTGATCGTTTCCTGCAACTGTGCCGACCAAATCTTTACCTTAGCAGCACTGCTTTTCAGCACATTCACCCCGCGTCACCTGGCACCCACGAAGCTCTCCAGTGACCTAGACTGGAACACGCGACTAAACAGCTGAGGTGTTTTCCACCTCTAGCTAACGTGTATAATAATGGATCCAAACTGATCATATTGCCATCAGCTGCAGATGCCGCACATCAGTCCAAGACCGTCAAATAATATGGAGCAGGTTCCTAGATTCCGACCATGCTCTAGTGCGCGCAAGCTTATCGCTCACACTTCTCGCTTCAAAGAAGCGCCTGTCTTCTAATCCTACTTGTAACAAACTCGCAGTCTGCAGTTCAACAATATCATAACGAAGTGACTCAACAATTCCTAGTGATGAATGAGGTTGCTGAACCCAACGCTGACTGGGATCGTCTCAAGTGTGCCACGAAGAATGCCTTTGAAGCTAGTCGTGCAACCGACTTAAAACGTAACTGTTAGTGGATCTCTGAGGCATCGATCAGCGTGATCGAAGCACGGAAACGAGTTCCGAAAGACACTAAGTTTCAGCGTATCCGTAATTCCTTGAAACGAAGCATCGCAAGGAGTCTCCGAAACGACCGGAAACGTTGGTGGATGGCATAGACCCGCTAGATGGAGAAAGCCAGCGCAATCTCGAACAGCCGAGATCTATTCCAGCTCATCCGGAGCAGGGGCCTGAAAAAGCCATCAGTTAGCAAGACAATAGCTGAGAAAGATGGACAACTGACGCATTCTAAGTGTCGTTGACTAGCCCGTTGTGCGGAATATTTTGAAGGGCAGTTCAGCAGGCCTGCTGCGACACCGCTGGTTGCTGAATCGTCCGAGCCGACGTGGGAAGTAGATGTCATACCTCTCACTTTGGAAGAGGTTCGACATGAGCTTGCCGTGTTGAAAAAGAACAAAACTACTGAACTCGACGACCTTCCTCCATCTTTGCTGAAAGATAGTGGAGGTTTCGTTTACTGGACTTGCTACTATATATATATATACATATATATATATATGTATATATATATATATGTATATATATATGTATATATATATATATATATATATATATATATATATATATATATATGGAACGGGAGATCCCATGGTGCGCTAACACTTGTGATGGCGAGATCCTTACAGATCGTCAACCCGCAGCTGTTAAGGTTATGCTGTGGGC